GACAACACGTGGACAGCACCCGATCCACCCCTGAATGCCACACATTGTTTGCCACACATTTCAAAGGGTTTCACACCATTGAGGGGCAGATCTCTTGACGTCATGATTACAATCCAAGTGTTAGGGTATTGAGGGGTTTCACTATTGGCATTACCATCATGTGGAAATACGCGCTAAGGTGGATGAATGAAAATAATTTAAAATTTAACATCTAATATTATATATTATATACAACATAATATTAGATTTGTTTATTAATTCTCTCTCTCTCTCTCTCTCTCTCTCTCTCAATAAAATTTACCTTGTTGGTTGTTATGTAGGTTTTTTTGTAATATAAATTGTATAGAATAAAAAACACAATTATAACAATCATATATTCATACATTTTTGCAACAATTATATGATTAACTTTTTTTTAAATATGTTTCGTTATTTAAAACATATGTTTTTAACTTACTTTATATAACAGAAGGTTATATATTGAGTGAAATACAAAACTGTTTTTAAAATGCTTGTAGGCAAAGTAGTATAGAAATACTTATAGCTTTAATCCCGAAACTTACATAGAGTAATGACTATGTATCAATACAATGACTATTGATATAAAAACAAGTTGAATTGCAATGAATTATGGAAGTTACGGGATAGTCAAAGGTATCAGTATTTCAATACTGCTTTGCCTACAAGTACTTTAAAATACTCTGTAAATCACTAAAACATTCTAAAATACCTGAATATTCTTTTTAACAAAAAATTATATGTAATTTTTAATTGATATATGAATTTTTAACGATATAATTGCTGCTATATTTTTGCCAACTTGGTCCCTGGCGCGGCCCACAAACAAATGTTGGGCCCAAGATTTCATTTTATGATTCATGGACCATGAAGTAGAAGTATGCCACCAGCTAGTATAAAAGAAAATCATATTTTTGTTATATAAAATTCAATATTTATTTAATTTTTGTTTAAGAAATGTAAAAAATAAAAAATAATTACAATTTAATGTCAATTTTAGTATTTTGATATTTATTTTTAACCACAATTCAGATATGAATAATGTGGTTTATAGGATCGTTCTGCCCCCTCCCCTCCCCCGCTCTATGGGATTTAACATAGGATTACAGCTTAAGTCTATGGCTATACTTTAACATGGGTAATTCTAATCCTATGGAGCTTTTTCCATTATGGGATTTAACATAGGATTACAGCTTAAGTCTATGGCTATACTTTAACATGGGTAATGCTAATCCTATGGAGCTTTTTCCATAAACTTAACATGGGCTAATGTTATCCTATGGGTAATGTTAATCTTATGGGAGAAAAATTTCCCATGGGAAAGCGAAATATGAAGGGAAAGGGTAGTTTTTCTCCATGTTATTCCTATGGGACTAATGTTAAGTCTATGGGAGAATGCTTTAACATGGGTTTCTATGGAATTACAGCTTAAGTCTATGGATATGCTAATCCTATGGGATGCTTTTTATGGTAATATACAATTTTAATTTAATTTTAATTTAACTGTTAAAGAAATTATAAACAATACTCGTTTGTATTCATTTTATACAGTTATACAATTCTTTACATCTATTGATTATAAAGGCTTCTATTGATTACATCCAACGTCTCTCAGATAGTGTTGCCAACTCTTATCGATCTCCGCCTTGAAAAATCCAAAATATTTCTAAATTCACCTTGACCAAACCTTGATTACTATTATTATTGCATATTTGATTGCAAATATTTTTTAAATATGAGAAAAATGTAAATTTAGTTTTATTATAATACAGTGTATTTTCCATATAAGATACGGGCTTTTTGAAGACAAAAGTCTTTCTTATGAAAGGTTTTTAATAAAGAGTTTGTTTTGCTATTATACAAATAGGCAATAAATATTATTCTGGGTTTTNAACACTTGGATTGTGATCATGACGTCAAGAGATCTGCCCCTCAATGGTGTGAAACCCTTTGAAATGTGTGGCAAACAATGTGTGGCATTCAGGGGTGGATCGGGTGCTGTCCACGTGTTGTCCGCCTATTGTCCACATTTGGGCGCAAATCTCGGTGTCGGCGGACATGTGGTGACTGAGTCAGAGTCGGGCGACGACTGTATTCAGTGTCCATTCCATGGCTGGAGGTTTGGCGGAGACGGACAGTGCAAACGCATACCTAATCTCAACGGTATGTCTATAACTATTTCTAATAATTATTTATACATAAATTAAAATTATTGTATGAATTAATAATGTTTTTCATAGAGTCTGAGTTAAATACAGTGAAAGCTGTGGTAAAAAAATGGCAGACAATAGAGAAGAATGAATTGATATATGTTTGGCACCACTCGGAGGATAAGGACCCCAATCACTACCCCCAGGATTTTCTCGGAAACAACGATTACAATCTATCACTAAAAGGGAGTTTCTTCAGATTTATGCATTGTAACTATCAGGTGAAGATGTCATTAATAATTATTATAAAAATAATAATATGCCATTTGTTTTTACTATTATAGATCACAGTGGAGAATGGGTCCGACTTACATCACTTTAACTACATTCACCAGGAGCTTATACCATATATAACTAGTTTAACATTTTCATTTGATAGCACGTATGACACAGAGACGAAGCCTACAATCACCGATAGAATTACTATCTATTTACTCGGCGTAGAGTTGGTCACTGTACCCATTAAACACTGTCACGTGTCACCAGTGACTGCGCTGCTACACATTGGCACAGAGGACTCAATTTTGGGTACCGTATTAATATTGGGAGCTGTTGTTCCATTGCAGCATGGTGAAACATTGGCAAGAACAATATTATTTTACAAGTCATCTATTTTTAGCAAGCTATATTTTATAGCATTTAAGTATATACTGAATACACAGGTATGTTGTGCACTGCATTTATTGATACAAACTGTAAGATTATTGTTATTTGTTATTGTTATAGTTTAAATTTATATATTGGGTTTATAGATTGATTCCGATACTATGATCATGTATAATAGTCAAAAACCTAAGCTCCCGATATTGACCCGCAATGACGAGACAATTGTCAGGTATCGGCGCTTTTGTCAAAAGTTTTACTCTAAATAAATTCGGTTTTGACTTAATCTTTGCCTAATTATTATATTTTTGATATATTTATTCTAATTAATTTGAAAATTGCTATTATAATTTTAAAAAATCTGGTATATTAAATATTTATTTTTTATAATATAATTATAATTATTATAAAAATATACTACAATAATACTAAAATAATGTATACACAAATAATATATCTAAAAAATACAAACAATTGTAAGTTATTTTAATTAGTAGTAGATCTAATAAGACAATGTACAGTGGAGTGTAAAAATACATTATAAACAAATAAACAATTCACAATCATGAGATTAGTTTACATTTATATAATGATCATATTGAGGTCCGACAATGTACCTAGTACATATTGACGACCACCATAGATTGCCCCGAACCTCATGCAGCATTTCATGCACATAGAGAGAGAGAGAGAGAGAGAGAGATTTATGATTTCAGCATAGTAATTTTTACTGTACGAGTATAGGGAGAGAGACTGTGGCGGAGATTTTATGTTCATATTTATAGAGAGATTCAGTAATTTGGATGTCTTAGCGCACGGCCTGACCACTAATCCCCTTTGGCTAGCGTTTAACCAGTCGGCCATCAAAGGGGCGACACTTGTCAACGATGTTTATTCAGTTAGATCTGAGGTTTTGAAAGATGAGGGTAAATACAGTTACCTGTATCTGTTGATGGCACTCGAGGGCTGGCACTGTCAACAGGCCATCGACCAGATGGTGGCCGAAGTGCACTATCAATGGTATGCGTGTATTAACTACGGCTCACAACTCGTAGAGTACGGCATACCTGAGCTGACAAAATATGTGCATGAAATGATGCATCAGGTTCGGGGCAATCTATGGTGGTCGTCAATATGTCCTAGGTACATTGTCGGACCTCAATATGATCATTATATAAATATAAACTAATTTTGTTTAAATCATTTTGTAATTGTGAGATGTTTTTTGTTTATAATGTAGTTTTACATAGCTTAATTTAAATATTGACCTTTTACTAATTTAGCTAATTTACAATTGTTTGCAATAAAATATTTAAATTAATTATTATTTAAATTAATTAATTAAATTAAAATACTATTAATATTTAAACTATTCTAAACAAAATAGTATTTATTTTTTAATGTAAAATACAAAGTCCCCTCGTTCTACGATTCTACGTTAATTAAATTTATATTGATATTTGTTTGTCACAAAACATGCAATGTTTTATAAAAACATAAACTCAACCACAACTATAAAAATTTACATCGGCTTTAAATTATAATTGCATTTTAATTAACATACTGTATGATATAACATGTTATGCATGCATGCAGTTTCAGTTTATAATAAAAATAAGGTTAATTAACATCATATTTATTTTTCAAAGTGGCACAAATACTGGATAGCTTGTAATGTCCAGTGTTTACAATACTGGGCCTATGGGTGAAGGCCTAGGGTCCTAACCTGTATGCATTTGGGTTTCATTATACAGTGTACATATGCACGCCATAAACCTTGATAAATTAAACATACACAGCTTTTTCCAACTTTGTCAATTAGCTTGCTTAATGAATCAAAACCTAGCTATATTGATGTTAATTATGATTTGTCCCCGATATATACGGGGAAGCGCTTAACTACTAATGAGCGTTCACTGTATACGGAGGATACAGTCTATGCCTATTATGAATAGCCATTTTCAACACCGCAGACAAACATTAGGGAGAAAATTGCGGCAAAAAACTAGTGATTTGTTTGCTCCCCACCACCAAAAGCTCTCTCTCTCTCTGTCAAACCTACCGATTATACCAATACTCTTCATAAGTCAAGAGTTTGTTGTTAAATTTTGCCTGATTGGCGGTCAGGTATGTGCCGATCCAACCGACGCCATACATCACGTGTCGTACAAACTGGTCAGCCGTCAGCATATCTTTAGTCAGTTTCATAGCCTTTACGAGCATTTTGTCAAAACCTGTTGTGCCGTCGCTTTTGCTCAACAGATACTTCTTCTGCCACTCGCTATTCAATCAATAAAAACAACGCTTAAAATCATAATACATGTCGATTCTCTCCTCCCCTTCCCCTTATCACACATACCATATAACATGTCTGCCGGCGCTGTCGTCTACCATAACATGATTGAGGTAATCGTCGAGCATAAAGACAAATATAGCCCAATAGTTAATGGTGTAAAAATACAGCGGGTTTTTAGTCTTAATGCACAGCTCTTGAAACCCAGTGATGTCTACGCTGTCGACCATTGGTTTGCCAAACGCTTCGCTCAGCATTAGGTTAGTGTCGGCCAAAGTGTTTGTGTGATGAAGAATGCGGACAATCTTTTCCTCGACGAGACCCCGGATCTCAAACGACATGAGCATCTCGTGGGTCAGGCCTGAGATGTGTCGGGCGTTGGAGTAGTCCTTGTTTTTGAACTCTTCGGGCATCGATTCAATAAAGGTCACTTTTGGTGCCAACTTGGTCAACACGTTAGGCATGGCTGGTTGAACGTAATTGATTTTTTTTATACGGAGGCAGTACCTAGGTACGTATGCGCAAGTGGAAGGCAAATTAATATAAGTCTTAAATCATTAAATAAATATTTAGTCACATTGATAACTTAGGCATTAATAAATCTGCAATTACCCACTTACACAATATATTGATTTAACTTCAAATTACATAAATAATTGAATATAATTATATTATTTTATGATTTATAAATATTAGTATCTCTGTTATAAATATTTGCATTATTTAAAATAAATCACACAAGTTACATTATAACTATAATAATCAAATTTTATATTACAACAAAATTAGTTTAATTGAACACCATATTTCCGGTAAAATGATTTAATTTCGTTTATACTTACCACGCACATCGCATACGTTATATAAAGTAATTGCAAATTAAATATATTATAATTAATTGTAAATTACAAAATTATTAGATTACGTAACGCATTTGTAAATCATATACTTATATAACTACTTATTAGTTTAGTTATTGTATTGACCAAAAATATTATGTTTAGAAAACTGACCATTTTGCTTTAAATTATGAGTTAAAGTATCCATAAAATATTTTGTACTATTAATTATAATATTTTAATACCATAAGTTTATGTTATTATTTTAATAATTTAATATTAATTAACTAGGACACTAATTAACTAATTAACATTATCAAAATAAAATATGAGTTATATTATTTGGTTAAGCATTAGGCTCAAATAATTGTATTGACAAATTCAGAATCACACATTTTCATTGCATTAATAAAAAATATATAATTTTATTATCAAATGTAATTTTTTAATTGTAAAAATCAATTAATTAAAATTAATAAAACACATTTGCCATTGAATGTACACAACATTTAAAATACAAAAACAATTTTACTCTTAAATTTACAAATTGACAATATTTACATGTAAACAGGTTTATGGTTTTATTTAATCACAATCACTGGATCATGTGGGAGTACATCACATTGATCATAATAATCTTATCCTACATATTATGGAAAGTGCTGTTTGAAGTCAAAGAGCCCATTTATGATGTATATATGGTTAAACTAGATAAAATATACCAAACAATTATGACTATAATGACTATGATCATTTTTACTCAACACAGCATAAGCCGATTGGAGACGTGACGTACAGCCGAGAGATGGGTTACCCCAACACGTGGTTTATTGTAATGGATTCGCGAGAATTGCCCGTAAATCAGGTGAAGGCCTTTGAGTTATGCGGACAACAATTGGTGGCGTTTAGGGGGCCGTCGGCTGCGGTCCACGTCCTCACCGCCTATTGTCCACATTTGGGCGCAAATCTCGGTGTCGGCGGACATGTGGTGACTGAGTCAGTTTTGAGTTATGCGGACAACAATTGGTGGCGTTTAGGGGGCCGTCGGCTGCGGTCCACGTCCTCACCGCCTATTGTCCGCATTTGGGCGCAAATCTCGGTGTCGGCGGACATGTGGTGACTGAGTCAGAGTCGGACGACGACTGTATTCAGTGTCCATTCCATGGCTGGAGGTTTGGCGGAGACGGACAGTGCAAACAAATACCTAATCTTAAAAGTAAGTGTAAGATTTATTTAACATTTTAATAATCCCCCGGTAGTTAATCAGATTAAATGTTTTTCAGTAAAGCAGTAAAATTCAGAATTACCTTGATTGATTGTAAAATTTTTTAGATAAGTTAAATCGAGTTGTATATGGGAAAGTGAGGCAGTATTGTTGCGAAACATTATGCACTGTTTTACTAATTGAAATACTAAAGACTACAGTACTTAATATTGATAGTTATTGGATAATTGTAAAATATAAATTACCATGTTAATAGTTAAATTTTATTTATTATATTTTGTACACAAATAGAGAGTGAATTAAAACCATTGAATGCAAGGGTTAAACGGTGGCGAGTGATGGAGCAAAACGACATGATATACGTCTGGCATCACACAAGCGATGCAGAGCCCGACCACTGCCTCCCAGACCTGTCCAAGAAGTACAACATTCCCAACCTTACAGTACTCTCCAAATACACCTACAAGATATACACATCATCACAGGTACATTTTACCAATGGCAATGTAATGTTTGTATAGCAGTTACATATTTAATAAACTTACTCAATAGCTTAAGTACTTAATTCATATAAGTTTTTAAATGACTATAATTAACTTCTATAACTCTTAATTAATATGTACAAATTAAATACAACTTATTACTTTTATTTTATTGCTAGCAAGTAATGGAAAACCTAATTGACATTGAGCACAACGACTATGTGCACGCGCATTTCATCAGGGGTGTTCTAAGCACCAAGTTCATTATAACGGGCGATGGCACTGAGGACAGTCCGATGGTCGTATTCATCGAGTTATTTCTATTTAATAGTAAAGTCACCACAATGCACCTGGAGCAAAGGGCGTGCACACCCGCATACGCCGAGTCCCACATCAAATACATCGGTATACCAGGGGTTACGCCCGCGATGTTAATCTTGTCGGCTATCAGTTTGGCGCCCGAAAGGATGCTCTTCAACACCCGATTTCTGGGCACTCCTACCCTATGGAATCAAATTGTATTATGGTTGTTTCACCGCATGTTATTAACACAGGTACTAATTTTTGTTTTATCATTTTGTTTTTTTTTTGTTTTATGGTTAGAAAACATATAAAATTAATGATCAACTGTTTAAATTAAAGTTATCTATAAAACAAATAAAAATTATTATTAACCATTGGTCCACATTCTTAAATTAGTCCCGCGAAGAACATTCTCCAGAAATAAATCTCGGAGTTGCAGAGCAGCTAATTTATAGGAT